GTGTTGATCAGTTAATACCAATTTGATGGTGAGTACATGTGGTGCTTGTCTTTCCATTCTTGGGATACCTCACTTAGTAGAATGCGTTCCAGCTCTATGCAGGAGTATATAAGAGGTGCCATATCACCTAAAAGACGTATATTTTAAACATAAGACAGATAGTTTGAAAGCAAAGATGATAAAGAGTCTACTATGCCAAGAATAAGTAGAAGCCTCAGAAAGCCGCCATGGATATATCAATATGAGAGCAGATAAACGTCAAGGCAAAGATTATTACAACAGATTAAAGGAGATATTACAGAAGAATAAAATGGCAGTTCACTAGAAAAAATACCAATAATTATGCATTTTTATTGTGTATGTATTTGTGAGTTATATCAAAATGAAGCAAAATGAAGCAAAATCTGACAGTACTCAGAGATGTTTTCACTTCTTTCTTAGTAAGCAATAGAACAAATAGACAAAAATCAGTAGGGATACAGAAGACCTAAACAACACCATCAACCGACTTCCCTAATTGACATGTACAAAATAAGACATTGAGAAAATTCAGAATGCATGTTTATTAAAGGCACGCATGGAAGTTCACCAAGATAGAACGCCAACACCAAGATGCTGGGCAATCAAAAAAAATTTCAGTACATTTCAAAAGACTATAAGCTTCAGAGAATATTCTCGGAAAGATTTCAGTCATTTGAAATCTTATATTTTCGTACCACAACAGAAGTAAATTTAGAACTTAATTAAGAATTAGAGATTTAGAAAGTCTCCCATAATATTTAGGAATTAAATACAACATTCAAAATAACCCATAGGTCAAATAAGATATCATAAGAAAATATTTCAACCTGAATTATAATGAAAAAAAAAATCAAAATTTGTGGAATGCAGCTAAAACAGTTATGCAGTTAACAGTTAAATTAGAGGAAAATTTATGACTATAAATGTTAGAAAAGATAAAAAGCTTAAGATCAGAAAAGATAGAAAAGACTAGAAAAGATAAAAAGCTTAAGATCAATGATTTATGTTTCTACCTTAGGAAACTAGAAAATGAAAAGCAAATTAGATCCAAAAAGAGGTAAAAGGAAATAAATAATTAAGATAA